CAACTTATAAAAAAGGAAAGTGAAAATATTAACACTTTTTTCACCTTTCAAAGTTTGTTTCAAAAATAGACTAGTAAGGATGTTTTCTTTTGGACTGTTTTCAGTCCCAGACCAGACCAGACCAGACTTAAACAGACCAGACCAGACCAGACCAGACTTAAACAGACCAGACCAGACCAGACCAGACTTAAACAGACCAGACCAGACCAGACCAGACTTCCGTAGTTATAAAATACACAGAGACCAGACGTTTACCAGACCAGACCAGACCAGTTCAGACCAGACCAGACCAGACCAGACCAGACCAGACCAGACTTAAACAGACCAGACCAGACCAGACCAGCAAATTTCAGTCCAAAAGAAAACATCCTAAATACATTCTTTTCAAAAATAAACCAAGGTACGAAGAACCAAGGGAAGTACGTCACCAAATCAAAGTTGCGCTCCAAATAAGTATGAATGTGCACTAGTCAGTAACCTTTATAGACACCTGCTTTGTCAAATTTGTACGTTTTTAAATAGAAAAAAGTGAATATTTAGTACTACGGAGTAATATGTATAAAAAAGATAATGAGAAACTAAAAAAATTCAAAATAAGATAATATTAAAAAATAAGAACATTACCAAATTAATAAATCACAAAATTTTAAGAAATGTATAGACAACTCAAAATTAAAAATGAAAAAGGTTAAAACTTAAAACTAGTTTATAAGTGGATAATTCGTCTTATCAAACAAAAGGTGGATAAGTCATAGAATAATACGTAGTAACATGTTTAAAAAGTAAATATATAACTATCAAGAATACAAATAATTGATTTTTTTATAAAATTAATAAAAAATAAAAATGAAAAAATATATATGATAAAAAAAATAAAAATAAAAATCTCAAATAAATGATAAACAATATTAATCTCTAAAACATTTAGAATATTAGAAAATAATAAAAATATTAAAAAATGTTTTTGAAAAATATTAAGAATTACGAAATGGAATTAAATAATTAAATATAATGTTAAGTAATTTTTATGAAACTGTTATTCTTTTAGAAACCGAAATAAATATAATATAAAAAAGTCTAAATTAAATAATTAAATAAATAAATTTGGAAAGCTTGAAATAAAAATAAATGCTATAAAATAAAATTGAAGTAGAAACTAAAATTTTTAAAAGAATTTTTTAAACAATGTTTTAAAAGAATTAAAAAGCAGAAAGTTTGATTAAACCAAAACGCATGAAAAATTATAAAAACTAAAAAATGAAAGTAAAAAATAAAAAAATAATTAACATTGAAACATTTGAACATGTATAAAAATATGAGTCTTGTAATTCATTTTTTTAAAATTGTTACAATATAAAAATACATATTATATAATTTTGTTGTTTGTTTTTGTTGCACATTGTTTTGTTTTGTTTCCTTTTGTTGATAACTCTATTTTTTATTGGTTCTTTATGTTTCTTGTGATTGGTTTATATTCAGAAGTCCAAAATTATCATTTTAGGTTATTAAATATAATTTTTTATATGATTGTTTTACCTCAAAAAAGTATAGCAAGGATAAACATAGATCAAAATAAACAACAAAAAATCAAAGTCACCTGTAAACAATAAGCAACATAATGCAACAAAAAGCAACACTGTGCAACAAAAAACAATATGATGCAACAAAAAACAACATATTTTTTTAGATTTTAATTTAAATTATTATTGATAATTGTGATAAATGCATTAATTTTAGTCAAAATCGTATGATACTTTTTAATCACATAATATTCCTTAGTAAAAAATGTGAGATAACTTAGGGGGATAAAAGAAGTGGTTTATTGTTAAATAGATTAAGTACGTTTATTTCCCTGTGTATGAAGTTAAAATTTACAATTAAAGAAAATGATGATAAAACATTCAATCAATTTGGTAAACAAAATGGAAGGTACTACATTTATATAATACGGAGTATGTTGATGTGCTATGTGGGCCAATCAATTTTGTTTTTTATGGGGGGCAATGACATATTTCTATTGGGGGCAAAGCTTTCTATTAGTAATTTTTTGCAATGGGTGCGCTAATTTATTGAGATGTTATTGGGGGCAAGTGCCCCCATTAATATGGGATTGGGATCATCTGCCGCACGGCAGAGTGCCTAGGGCGTAGGGGGCCGTCGGATGAGAAGAAGAGAAGCCTGGGGATCTGCACCTCAATATCTCCGATCGTCCATATTGTGATCGGACGGTTCTCTACAGTCGGGCACCGTGCCTTGCCTTGAGTATGGCAGAGGTTCCGGATCCATTAATATGTATGTGCATCCACCCCTGGTGATCATGTGTATGTCATATTCGGGTTGCTTCATCTATATTGCTTTTATGAATTCTATGCTATAATTGCATTTAAATATGTACTTGAAATAATAAGTTAAATACAATCTAATTTGTAAGGGGATCGTGCAAGAACTATTAATTGAATAAATTCGAATAGCAAATTAGCAATTAGAGTATATGAATCTAGTGTTTTGAATACAACAAAGATAGCAATTCTTGAACATCAGGTGTTCATTCTCTTCGTTTATAGTCCACTACATTATTTATGCTAAGAGCAACCACAACGCATTCATGTCTAGTAGTCTAGATAAAGTGTGTCACATAATTAAATTCGACTGAAACTTATTAATTTATGCTCCAACCATACGAAGTCTGACATGGCAAAAAAAATGTAAGACGGTGTGGACTTGACGTCTATGTGTAGAAAGGCGTAGGACTTGGTGAGTTGGTGACTCACACAAAACAAGGTTTTTTCCTTCTATAAAAAAGCATTTGTGTATTAGAAACGTATACGAGCATAACTCTTGGGATCCCTGCAAAAACGCACCGGCCATATGGCCCATATATATCACCTCCCTATAAATATTTTATGATTGAATTTTAATATTATAGGGTAATATTTTAATATAGAATGAATTATTGGTGTAATTCAATTCCACATGGACATTATACTTGAATTTTGAGACTATGCATTGGAAACTTACTCTGTATGTTAATGTCCAATCACTCCACTATTTATTATGTGTAATAAAAAGCCATTTATTAATTTGACATTTGACATAATTTGATTAGACTAGAAAGCGTTGCATTGTGGTCTGGATGCTCTAAGAGTCTTTCTTGTTGATCGGCCCAATCGTGCAACAAAATAGTAGCCATTCCTATTCTTGCGAAGGCAGTTGCTTAATCTTATCCCAATGCTACTTCCCCTCCTTCGTGGGTTGTCATTATCCGTTTTTCCTTGTTAGACATTTAGTCGGAACGGAGGGAGTATATGAATTATTATTATTATCATTACTTACTGATCACTAATAATGCAATAACATCGGTCATAAAAAAAAATATAATGGCAGTAATTTTAACAATATAATGGCAGTAATATTAATTTGTTTAGTCGTAATATTGATCAGGTAAAAACCAGAGAAGGGAAATAATTTTAAAAATAGTATGATGCCATTAACAATATAATAGCAGTAATTTTAATTTGTTGAGTCTTAACATTAGTCAGTTAAAAATCACAGAAGGGCAATAAGTTTAGTTGAGGAGTAACGTTGGTCAGTAAAACAAGAAAGGGGCAGTAAGATGGTTTAATCCGGAGTAGTAGTGAAGAGCAATAAAAAGAATATGTGAGTGACCTAGTATGACATCCATAAAGGCATGAAAGTACAATAAAATGACCGAAAATGAGAATATGCAATATCTAGTAGTGCATTTTTTAAAATGACCAGAAATACATTTAACACTACCTAATAAGACAAGCAGTTACCATATTTCTAGGATTGTTATAATGATAAGCCAAACAGTTACCATATTATTAGGATTCCTATTTAATAAAAAGGATAGTCGTGCATATCATATCCGACTAATCCGGAAAATGAAAATAGTAAACTACTTCCATATTAATCATGTTAGGAGGGCAACTGTGGAATTAAAATCATAAATAAAAAGTAATTAATTATGCACGTATTGTAGTGGGAAATAAACTTATAGAGTCATATATTGAGAAATGAGAGATGTTTCAGTCATACGAGTGATAATATTCTCTTTTTCTTTCTATAAAAAGCATTTGTGTATGAAATTGAAAACGTATACGAGCTTAATTCAAGGAAACCCTGCAAAAATGCACCGGCCATAGGGCCCATATATATCACCTCCCTATAAATATTTTACGATAGAAGGTTAATATTATAGGGTAATATTTTAATATAGAATGAATTATTGTTAATTCAGTTCCACATGGACATTTAACTTGAATTTTAAGACTATGCATTGGAGACTTACTCTATATGTTAATGTCCAATCACTCCACTATGTATTATGTATAATAGAAAGTCATTTATTAATTTGACATAATTTAATTAGATTAGAAAGTGTTGCATTGTGAATGCTCCAAGAGTCTTTCTTGTTGATCGGCCCAATGGTGCGACAAAATAGTAGCCATTCCTATTCTTGCGAAGGTAGTTGCTTGATCTTATCCCAATGCTACTTCCCCTCTTTCGTGGGTTGTCATTATCCGTTTTGCCTTGTTAGACATTTAGTTGGGCTCCGACTCCTCTAACAAGCTTCCTTGGCCCCATCTTCACAATATGTGTTCCTTGGGCCTAATACATTTCGTTAGTACGACTAATACATTTCAACGTGGCTGGAGTATTATTAATAATTAATTACTCCTTCCATCCCATAAAATAGTTTCCGCATTCACTTAGATCAAAGTTTAAGAAAGTGAGAATAAAGTGGAAATGTATGGTTGTGGTTGTGTAAGAAAAAAGTAAATGAGAACACTTTTTTGGGACGACCCAAAAAGAAAACCGGAAACTATTTTGCGGGACGGAGGGAGTATATGAATTATTATTATTATCCCTATTATTATTATCATTACCGATTGATCACTAATAATGCACTTCTTTTCCGTTGTTTAAAAAATGAATAATGCACTTTCAAGTTTTCTATTTAAGCCCGACAGTACGGACTCACAGACGACCCAGCTATACCACCTATACATATTTAATATTTTCATCCTCGAAAGGGAGTCAAAGCCCCTAATTTTTCGTTAATGAATTAATATCTGATGAATTAGCTTATGCGAGCTTATAAGCATGGCTTCTCTAGTGAATCGGCTGAGCCTGGCCCTTGGTTTCGTAGCCTTAGCGTTAGCCGGCTACTCCATTTACCGGCACACACAAACAGCCGTTAAGGGGCAGCTTGAGGTTAACCCAACTTGGCTGGAGTCGGCGCCCAACATATTGTCTCTAGGTTCCGGAAAATCTTCCGGCAAAGTTTCCGACCAAGCCTGCGCATTCTCCGCCGTGAAAGAAGTGGTGGATGCTGCCATAGATGCGGAAACTCGGATGGGTGCTTCCCTCATTCGTTTGTTCTTCCATGACTGCTTTGTCGACGTAATTAAGTCCCATTAAGTCTCACCCACCTACCTGTCCTCTTATATTCTTTAACGTTATATATATGGAGTATTACATTTTTTAAATGGTAGATTCTATGGTAGATTCTATGTTGCAGTTGAATTATTTAAGTCTAAATTAAAAATGATATATCTATTTGGACAAATCAAATGAATAGTAGAAATGACACCCTATTTTTTAAATGGGTACCGGAGTTGTCACCTTTTTAAATATTTGATTAAACTCATCGGCTCAGATATAGTTGACTTTCTTAAACTCTGATCTAAATCGCTCATTTTTTGTTTAACTTTAAAATATTCGCTACACTTTCCTTTATAGATTTTTCATTTAAACGTAAACAATTATCCTTACATTTTCGGCATTTTCATCATCTCGATCCTCTTAATTTCCTAAGCTATATGTACCCTACTACTTTACCCTAACCTTTGTATAAAAAATTAATGTTTCAAAAACAAACATATACAAACGTACTCTCTCCTTTTGTCTGATTGCGGTTTACGAGATTTGACCGACGATATAACAAACAAATTCTTGTTCACACTCAAATTACTTGTAGCAACAAAATTTTTACATATTCAAATACTTCTATTATATTAAAAGTTCCGAGTAATATTAAAAATGAATTTTAAGCATATTCAAATTACTTGTAGCAACAAAATCAAATTTGATAAAAGTTTGATACGAAGTATTTAAAGTAAGGGATTAATAATGGTTTGTGTTGATCAAGTGAATAAGAAACATGATCATCAAATTGGGATGAAGGTAGTAATATTTTACAAAATACGGAGCACTGTATAACTTTTAATAATCAATGAGCATAATAGTAAAATACGGTATTGTTTTCAAATTTAAATTGCACTTCCATAACAGTGTCCTTATAGTAACCATGATAATATGTTTTCAAAATTTTAATCATATTTCAAAGAAATCTCTTACGTAAATAATGATAAGAATGGAGAAACATGATATAGATACATGAAACTAACTATAGATGCAAGTTAAACCATTTTAATTAATAAGAATATTTTAAGTATTAATATGTGGCAGACAAAACTGAGATAAAACCGATAATGTTTAGGGATAGGGTTACCCCAAAAATGTTACCAAAATATAACTTATTTATAAAAATATGACTAATGGTTGCTACAATATTTAATTGAATGTCATGGTAATTTAAGTTTATAAAATGAACATAAGGTACCATGATAACATTACTATTCTGTGACATTTTTGTAAACAATGTTTTTTAGTCATTAATATGTAATAATTTCTAATATTTAGTACTTATATTATTTCTGTGTTGATATATTATTTGATTATTTGATTTAGTAAGAATATGGAGTCATAGAGAATAAATTTCCAGGGTTGCGATGGAGGGTTGCTTCTCAAGGACACGGCTACTTTCACCGGGGAGCAAGGAGCGGGAGGAAATGATAATTCGGTGAGGGGCTTCGAAGTAATAGAGAAAGCTAAGCAGAACGTGAAAGCCAAATGTCCCTCTACTCCCATCTCCTGTGCAGATATCCTATCCATTGCTGCCCGTGATTCTTACACTAAAGTATGTTCTTTTTTCTTTTACACATTCTGATGAAAACGGTTAGCAACACAAGAGGGGGGGTGAATTGTGTGTGTGTGGAACCGTGGCAGTTTTTCGCCGAGTTCTAGTGTGGGATAAAGGGAATTGCGAAAATAGTAAAGTGCACAAGAATTTAACGAGGAAAAATCCCTTGGCTCAAAGGGATTGAAAAACCTCGACCTCCCTCGGAGGAATTTTAAACAACTTCACTAAACAAGCCTTTGAAAGAGTTACAAGAGTGATTCTCCTAATCTACCCTTGAGCCTCCCCAACTCCATCCTCTCTAGGAAGAGTTATGCATCTCTACCTTGCGGGTAGAGAGCCTCTCAGCTTTATCACAAAGCTCTCACACACACTTAACCCGAGGCAGCTACTCTAGCCAATTAAGCCTCAAAATTCCAAGTACAATATGAAAGGGAAAAGAAAAAGTCTGTCTAGAACTCCGAGCGGGCAGTTTCAGGCGCCAAGGACTTGATCTTTTTCTTGAATGATTCTTCTAAGTATTTTTCACAATTCAGCACCCACTTTTTCTCCTTGTCTTTTGCATATATATAGGCACCTTTTTGTATCCGTTGGAGCATCACCGATCCTGTCTTAAGGCTCCTTTCCTTTTTTAAGGATTTTCTTTATTTGGACTCCATACCTTTTACAAGATCTTCAAGATGGTAAATTATCATAATACCGAGTAAATAAATTGCTTGCCATATGCACCGATAATATATCGCTGAGAGAAGCTATGGTCAACAAGTAAAAGAATATCCACTTAGCATATATAGCCATGCAATTAATACGAAGAGATACTTTCTAAAGCTAAGTATTTTCTTCCCTTTTCGTGAGTGGATTCAATCATTAAAAAAGTTTCCATTTAATTAGTCTTGTGCTAAATGAAAGTCTCGTTCAAATTTCAAATCATGCTACAGAACTTCTACTAATGCACAAAAGGCAATAATTCCATGCAGGCCATATTCAAATATTCAAATAATGCCACATCGTTCCTTTGTTCCAATATGCTGAGTCATCAACAAAACTATTCAGTCAACAAATTCCCCCTTTTTGTTGATGACAAACCATATTGGTGCCGTAATGAAGATATCCCTGCAGATTAGTATCAAGCATAAATAGTAGAGAAAACAACACATAAAGGGGCACCCGCTTTTCCCCCTTTTGTCATTCAACAAAAGGAATTAAAATATTTCCCAAATCAAGACTTTTAATTGTTCCCCCTTAGAAGATGCTGGAAGGTCCTGCATGCCCTCTCTACGACCAGAAAAAGGGATTAGTAACTGAGATTAGGAAATAAGAAGTAGAACGAATAAGTTAGGAATTAATTAGACCGAGTTCCAGTCTAATTATTTCAAACCTTTCTTTTCCCAGGGGCTTTGTAAAAATGTCGGCAATTTGTTTGTCGGTGTTGCAATACTCGAGCCTGACTAGTCCCTTTTCCACACAATCTCTCAGAAAGTGATGTCGTATATGAATATGTTTTGTCCGAGAATGCATGACCGGGTCCTTTGATATGCTAATTGCACTTGTATTATCGCATAGGATTGGCGTGCACTTTAAATCAACCCCGTAATCGCTTACTTGTTGCATGATCCACAATGATTGAGAACAACAAGATGCGGCTGCTACATACTCAGCTTCGGCTGTTGAAAGAGCAACTGAATTTTGTTTCTTTGAGCTCCAAGAAACTAGACAGGGACCTAGGAAGTGAGCTGTTCCAGACGTACTTTTTCTATTTAACAAATCACCTGCAAAATCAGAGTCTGAATATGCAATAAGGTTAAAATCATCATTACGAGGATACCATAAGCATAAATCAGCAGTTCCTTTGAGATATTTGAGGATTCTTTTCACAGCCTTGAGGTGAGATTCTTTGGGATTAGCCTGGAACCGAGCACATAGACCTACGCCAAAAACTATGTCAGGTCTACTGGCAGTGAGGTACAGTAGGGACCCGATCATTCCTCGATACATCTTTTGATCTATGCTCTTTCCTTGTTCATCCACATCCAGCCTATCATTTGTTCCCATAGGTGTAGTCATGGTTTTGCCTTCACTCATTCCGTACTTCTTTAGGAGTTCCTTGAGGTACTTTTGTTGAGATATTTGAGTTCCTTTGCTTGATTGCTTGATTTGTAGGCCAAGGAAGAAATTAAGTTCCCCCATCATACTCATCTCAAATTCGGAACTCATAAGAGAAGAAAACTCATCACAAAGAGATTCGTTAGTAGCACCAAAAATAATATCATCAACATAAACTTGAACAACCAATAGGGCTTGATCTTTTATTTTTAGAAACAGAGTTTTATCTATTTTTCCTCTTTCAAAATTGTTTTCCAAAAGAAATTTGGATAAGCGTTCATACCAAGCACGAGGTGCTTGTTTGAGGCCATAAAGTGCTTTATCTAATTTGAAAACATGATTAGGAAAATCTTGATTTTCAAAGCCCGGTGGTTGTTCTACATATACCTCTTCCTTTAGATATCCATTCAAGAAGGCCGTCTTGACATCCATTTGGTGGAGGGTGAAACCCATATGAGCCGCAAATGCTATGAGCATTCGAATTGCTTCTAGTCTTGCCACCGGTGCAAATGTTTCGTTGAAGTCTATTCCTTCTTGTTGGTTATAGCCTTTGACAACAAGCCTAGCTTTGTTCCTTGTGATTTGGCCATGTTCATCAAGCTTGTTCTTGAATACCCACTTGAGACCTATCACGGTCTTGTTCTTGGGTCTCGGTTCTAGATGCCACACTTTATTTCTTTCAAACTGATTTAGTTCTTCCTGCATAGCTAGAACCCAGTCAGTGTCGGAGAGAGCCACTTCATGGTTCTCCGGTTCTATAAGAGATAAATAAGAAGAGAAAGCACAAAAGTTTTTAAGTTTAGATCTAGTTGTTACTCCCTGATTTAGATCGGTGAGGAGGTTATCCAGCGGATGTGATCTATGAAGCTTCCAACCCCTAGGAGCGTTGGGTTGGTCCACAAAGTTGTTGAGAGTATCTGGAACTGGTTCTACCGGTTCTACAGGTCCAGTATCAGTGTTCTGTCCAGGTTCTTCTTCAGTTCCAGATTGTTCATTTTCATTTGTTAGAGGTGGTTCACCAGTTTGATTGTCAGTTTCTTCATCTCCTTGAGATTGTGATTTCTTGCGAGTGATCCCTAGCTCACCATCATCGGCTTGGATTGATTTTGGGGCAAGTGCTTCATCAAAGATTACATGAATGCTTTCCTCCACACATTGTGTGCGTTTGTTTAGAACTTTGTAGGCCTTGCTATGTGGGGAATATCCTAGAAAGATTGCCTCGTCACTTCTAGCATCAAACTTGCCGATGTTGTCTTTCCCATTGTTGTGGACGAAACATTTGCACCCAAAAGTTCTTAGATGACTTATGTTGGGCTTCCTCCCCTTGAGCAGTTCGTAGGGTGTTTTCCCTAGGAGTGGACGTATCATGGCTCGATTAATGATGTAGCATGCTGTGTTTAGAGCCTCTGCCCAAAAACTCCTAGCTAGACCGCTGGAAATAAGCATAGTTCTAGTCATGTCCTCCAGAGTTCTATTCTTCCGTTCTACCACTCCGTTCTGTTGTGGAGTTCTAGGTGCGGAAAAGTTGTGGTCTATCCCTCGTTCTTTGCAGAAGGCATCGAAGAGAGAATTGTCAAACTCAGTTCCATGATCCGATCGGATCTTGATTAGTCGTAGACCTGTTTGATGCTCAATTTTCCTTACAAAAATAGCAAACTCATTAAAAGTATCTTTCTTGCTAGCAAGAAAGATAGTCCATGTAAATCTTGAAAAGTCATCAACAATAACCAGAACATATTCTTTGTTTCCTCGGCTACGGACTGACATTGGACCACACAAATCCATGTGTATTAGTTCTATGGGCTTGCTTGTGCTCACCAAATTCTTTGTTTTAAAAGATGATCGAGATTGTTTTCCGGTGGCACAAGCCGAGCAAACATGGTCAAGTGAAAATTTCATATTGGGCAGTCCAATAACTAAATCATTATTTTTAAGTTTATTTATTAAGGAAAAACTAGCGTGTCCAAGCCTTTTATGCCATAGCAAAGGATCGTTATCAATAACGCTCAAACAAGTCATACTAATATTAGGCAATGAATCAAGATCTACTTTATATGTATTTTCGAGCCTCTTGCCTTCAAGTATAACTTGTTGTGATTCGTTATTAACAATGCGACAAACGTTATGATCAAAAACAACACTATTACCTCGATCGCAAAATTGAGAAATACTTAGTAAATTAAATTTCAAACCCTTGACTAAAAATACATTATCAATAGCATGGCTAGGTGACTTTCCAACTTTGCCCACGGCTATGATCTCTCCTTTGCCGTTGTCTCCAAATGTCACCTTTCCACCGCTAAATGGCCGTAGTGAGAGGAATAAAGATTTGTCTCCCGTCATGTGCTTAGAACAACCACTGTCAAGGAACCAGTGATTGTTCCCCCTCACTCGGCACTGTTCCAGGATTAAGGGTTAGCGCGTGGAACCCAGACTTGCTTGGGTTCCATTTTGTAATTGTTTGAGGAATATCTAACATGATCATAGCATCTTTCTAAAGTCTTTTGCCGAGAGTGACATTGATACCGTAGATGACCGATTTTGCCACAATGCATGCAAACCCGGTTATCATAAGTATCAACGTATTTGGGTTTCCATTTACCGTGAAAGCCTCTAGTTCTTTTGTAAAAAGTCCGGTTAGGCATTTGTCCATAACCGTTTTTGTGCCTCTGAACCAGTCTATCGAACCAGTTTGGTCCAGTTCTAGGTGGCTGTTGATATGGTCTAGAACTGGGTTGTCCTTGGGTTCTTTTATCCTTAAAGGGTTGGTTCTGAAAATTTGATTTTTGATTAGATCGGATATCCTTTGGAACATATCCGAGACCTGCAGTCTCGTTTACTTTCTTATTGTGCTGAGAAGGACCAGTTCCAGAATGATGTCTAGACCTGGTTTTGTT